ACCCGTACGCGCACGCCGTCTTCGACGACGACCTCGGGAGCGTCTAGCCGTGGGAGCTCCTCTGCAAGTGCGGCAACGAGCTCGATCACGCCTTCTTCTTTGGGCCCCCTCACGGACTCGGCCCAGAACGGCGGTCGTAAGAAAAGCGCACCATCAAGGGCGTTGGCTTGTGGCAGGGGCAGAAGGGGTCCGAGGGCACTGCCACCCTACTCCACCCTGGCGGCGGCGAGCTGGACATCACGTTCAAGCGGTACAACCTCACTTTCTGCCGCACCAAGGGCGGGGCCAGCACGGGGTACATCATGCACGAGTACGAGCTCATATGCCGCCGATCCCCGGCACGGTGCTCAGACGCGTCAAGATCAACAAGAACCCAAAGAAGGAAATGGCACCGGTCACGACCGTCGCCGGCGACCAGCCCGGCACGAGTACGATGCCCCCATGATGGCGAGCAGCAGCAAGGGATCCAGTGACGCGCAAGCTAGTGCTCCCTATGGCGGCAGCGACGTTGACATGGCGGATACCGGCTCCTACTATACTCCTCTAAAAGCATCTCCAGCCGTTTGGCCCCCCAGGGCGTCGAAAAAGAGCGGTCTGGGGGTGCGTCGGCGATAAACTCGGCGCTGGGGGTGGTTCGGCACCCAGCCGTCGCTCCCCAGGTCGCCCCCAGGCGCCGATTTCGGCCCAGTGTTCGGCCCAATTATGTCCAAAAACGGCCCGATATCTGCGTGAATCGGCCCATATTCGGCGTGGTTCGGCGTATTTCGGCGTGAATTTTTGCATACAAATAGAAATCAATTGGTTCGTCACATAGTTCGGCATGGTTCGGCGTGTTTCGGCATGTGTCATCACATAAATCAAATAGTTCACGCCAACAAATAGTTCAATGCAAATTATATAGTTTAACAAATAAAAACTCAAGTTTCATCACACGTCATTCCCGGCCTCGTCCTTGAGCCTCCATAGGTGCTCCACCAGATCGTGTTGCAATTCTTGATGCACCTGTGGGTCTCGGATCTCGTGACGCATATTGAGGTATTTACTCCAGTTTGCTGGTAGCTGGTGATCAACTTGGGCAAGAGGACCCTGCTTGTAATATGGTTCAGTGTCAAACACTGGCTCTTCTTGCTCGCTCTCAATGATCATGTTGTGCAAGATGACACAGCAAGTCATGATCTCCCACATTTGATCTTTCGACCAAGTCTGAGCAGGGAACCGAACAACAGCAAATCGAGATTGGAGCACACCAAATGCCCGCTCAACATCCTTCCTGCAAGCTCCTGAATCTTCGCAAACCAGGCGTTCTTGCCTCCTGGCACAGGGTTTGAGATGGTCTTCACCGGGAGCTGCAAGCATCTTCATAGCTGTCGTGCACTTCTAGATCGAGGTGAATCCAAATGTGCCGGTGCAATCCTTCTTGCACTTGAAGTAGCTGTCGAACTCCCGGATGGAATTCACAATCCGTAGGAAAGCTTTCGGCTCATCGGATAACGGCGCCGAAATGTTTTCTCACCGTGCAATGGAGTGTCGGCGAAGTAGCCCGAGTAGAGCATGCAGTAGCCTTCCAGACGATGTCGGTTCTTTGCTTTCACCCGCCCAAGCACCGAGCCACCTCGCCGCGGCTTTTCACTGCTCGCGAGCAGGCCGGCGAGGGCGGCGAGCACCATGAGATGCTCCTGCTCCTGGACGTCGGCTTCGGCTTCCTCCTCCAGCAACGCCGTGAGCGCCTCCTCATCTTCGGAGTCCATCGTCGGGCCGGGCAATTCACCGAACACCTTGCGGGCGAGGTGGGCTCGGTGTACAGGCCCTGCGTGGCCTGAACGCCGGAAAAGGTGCCCGAACGGCAACGAAGAGGCTGCCCCAGCGAAACCCCTTCTTTTTCCCGGCAGGAGATGGTCTATCTAGCTACGGTGGGCGGTGGACGGCGCCGGGATCGGCAGGGTGGCGGCCGAGCGCGGGAGGTAGGAGGGGAATCTGGGCGGGTGGCTTGACTTTTCGCCTGCCAACGTGGCCCCAGGAACGCTTTTCCCTTGCGCCGGTGCCCCCGAGCGCCCCCAGTGCGCCGGGTTCGGCCTACGAACGCCGGGCGCAAAAACGGACCGAGCCGGTGAAATTCGGTGTCCTGGGGACGTGACTGGACCGTTTTTTCGGCGCCGGTGCAAAAAAAATCGCCGGAGATGCGCCTAGAGATGCTCTAACGTATGCGTTTTGGGGGTGCGGCTGGAGATGCTCTAACGTATGCTTTCCCGGAGGGCGAGCACAAAGACTACTGCCTCCCGGTCACAAATCAGCCTGGCGCGAGTTACAATGCCGCGGCCGCGATGAAGAGCGACAGCCAAGGATTCGCCGGAGCTCAAGCTGATGCTTTCTCTGGCGGCGGCATGGTGGAGACGGACAGCGCCTACTACGATCCTTCACAGTTCGTCCCGGTTGCTAGCGGCGCGTACAACAACGATTACGGCCAGTACCACGAGGTTTCCCAATGTCCTTATCAGCTGGCCCAGAGCCACAACCAAAGCCAATACTTGGCTGGAGATTCGCCGTGATGCGCTCCCACGGCGAGGGGTTCAGCGTCGAGCAACAAGCCGGTGCTCTTTGTGGCGAGGACTTCAATTTTGAGCAGAGCGACGACGAGATCTACAACATCTACTTCAGTTAGATAGATAATGTTAGAATGCATAGCTGAAAACACCAGCAGGATAATCTTCATTTTGGTCGTTTTGGTCCTCCTCATCCTTCCCCTGAACTCCCCTCAGCCTAGAAGCTCCTCTCTCCACTGCCACCAAGCCGGCCATGGCCACCGCCACAGGATTTGCACCTGGCGAAGTTTCAAATATTTCTGCCCCCGGCTGTGGGCGGGGTCTCACAGATCTCGTCATGTTTGACGACGCTGACTTTGTCTCCCACACACGTGCTCCGCTGCTGTTGCCTCTGTACTCAGCATCAGCAGTTACATATCTTCAGATCATCCGCAAATGGTGGCTGAGTGGCAGCGACAACACGGCGTTGATTGATGCGGAGGACGTCCGGAAGGTGCTCAGTTGCAGCATTTGGCGCCATGGCCTGTGGCATAGAGCGCCTATCTACTGGGAATTTGGCTCCTGCTTCAGTTCATTGTTTCCCAGTTTGGCCTTCCCCTAGCTATTCCCGTCAGCCAAAGGACGATGTAGATTTCCCATGGGGTTTAAGTTTGCACAAGACAATCTCACCCGAGGCACCTGTTCCCTGGGAATACCTCCCCTAGCATCCAAATGAAGCCTTAATGTGATGCATCTGGTCGGGTTCTGCTCATTCTATGCGGAAACATATGGCTGTAGCAGTTGGAGGACGGAGGAATCCAAATGTCGTATCCACGCTTAACTGCTACTCCCTCCGTTTCCTAAATATAAGTCTTTTTTAAGATTTGAATATAAAATTTGAATATGAACTACATACAGATGAATATAGATGTATTTTAGAGTGTAGATTCACTCATTTTGCTCCATATGTAGTCCATATTAGAATAGAATCTATAAAAAGACTTATTAGGAACGGAGAGAGTAAAATGTATGTAATTATCTTCCTTGGAGACATATACTTTCAGCTAGTGATGTACATGATCGCCAAAAGTTGCAGCCATACCGAGTATGAAATATCCTGCTTATGTGGAAGACATATAACTCTTGTGAAGTTATATGTGGAAGCATGTAATAGCTAGCAGAGAACTCAAAAGTGTTGTCTGTATCCATGCTTAATTACTTTAGTAAAACGCAAGCAACTTCCTGGAAGACATATATTATTAGCTAGGTGAGTAATACTAGCTGTCTAGCCAAAGCTATAGTGATATCTGCACATACTGTGAAAACTCTGGTGGCATGCATGAATACCAAAGTTCATATAGAATATGTAATATACTGATGCTGTCTCAGAAATGCCTATGTTACTAACTTTTTTTCTCTCTCCAGCTGCTGCTGATACTACTATGTGTTTTCTGTTACACGGAAGACTTGCAGCAGAGAAATAACTGCAAGAATGACAGTTCCTCTGTGCTTTGGCGCTTAAGCATTGAGCTGACTTGCTGTTTCAGCTGAGAATCCAGGCAGAGAATTACTGCGAATTTTCAGTCAGAAACAGAACAACTAAACTAGAGTATTATAGACAGTAGCAGCATCTGTTTTACACCCTATGTCACGACATTCCTGGTTTCAGCTATATTTAGTTAAGAGTCGGCATACAAACATGCAAACGAAACCAAAACAAACCTAACAAAAACAAACAATCACAGAAACGACAGGCCATCACAGGAAACTAAGAACACCACCACAATTTTAGCAAGTAGCAGAAGCCAACATCGACATTCTCAGTTTCAGGGTTCTAGTTCCTTCAGCATCAGTCATTTAAACAACATCTCAAAAACTCTCAACGCTACACAAAACTCTTTTGGCTCAAGAGAAGAGCAGCCAAGCACAACCCTGCAGTAAAAACATCTTGAAATCTGACTTGGGAAGCTCAAACTCCCTGGGTTGGCTATTCTTAGGAGCTTAGCTAGACTAAAAGCCATGGTAAAAAAATTCAGATAACATATAAACACCGCTGACCACATTGATGTGATGTGACAAAGTGACAACTAACTACTGCAGCAGCCCTTTCTTCACCTAGAGAAAATAAAATCATTAATCTGTTAGTTAACTAACACAGACAAAGATAAAATGTAATAGTGGCACCTATGTAACACAGTGTATGAACAACAAGTGTGTACAAACTGATGATGAGCTCATCAACATAAAGAAGGCATATATCACATCGCCTAAAAAAAGAGCTATATCACATTACTTGATACATCTCCTAGGAATTACCGATTGACAACAAATAGATCATTCAGCCTTTTTACATGAAAATGTTGGGTGGGGGAGTTGAAAGATGTGACTAGTGTTTGTAATAATAAAAATTTCTGAAACTATATCAGAAGATATTCTTACCTGTTGAACCATTTCAGCACATTGAAATATCGAACCAGGCAGTCATCCTAACATTTCAGCTTCTTTACATCCACTAGTAATGGTTGTGCCTAGAAGCATAAGAACTCAGGTAATTAACAACAGTTCCACAATAAAGACAAATGATACAAGAAGGCAACATGAGACAATTCGAAACTGTAGAAACAAAGTGAAAATTATGCCAAAACAACAAACTGTAGAAACAAAGTGAGATTGGGTGTCCTGTTTTAAAAAGAGGAGCTCAAGAGACAAGAAATTCAGTTTATTTTCGAGAGACACAAATATACTACTCCCTCCGTCCCACAATATAAGGCGTTTTTTACACTAGTGTAGTGTCAAAAACGCTCTTATATTATGGGACGGAGGGAGTAGTCACCAGGTGGAGGGGTCATTGGCAAGTGACAGAATCACAACTATTTCAAGAAAGCATAGATTCGATGGAAGTTGTAATTGAAAATATATGTGACACAAATTTTGAATAAAATCAAAATTTATTTCTATGTGCTATGACTGTAACAATCACCTATAGAAGGGGTCATGAACAAATGAGAAAATCAAAATCATCTCAAAAAAATAACATTTGATTTGGCATCTTCGAATACAGCAGGCAGGCATATTCAAACAATAACATATACTAAAATAATACGGCTATAAATTCGTCCATCTAGCAAAGGTGCAACTGCTAACTAAGTTCAAGTTGTAAGTGTAACATTTAAGAACCACAATAACACTATGCGAGCAATCATGTACTCCCTCCGTCCGGAAATACTTGTCATCAAAATGGATAAAAGGGGATGCATCTAGACGTATTTTAGTTCTAGATACATCTCTTTTTATCCATTTTGATGACAAGTATTTTCGGACGGAGGGAGTAGAAAACATCACAAGATTGGGTTACTTCCTAAGATATACAGGCCAAGGATGAGCAATCACCTGGTGGGAAGAAACCCGTGAAAGGATAACAACACTCCCTATACTCCCTGGAACGGGTTCCATTAAATTTCCTGAATTGCATTGACTTGAGTTGAACCATATAGACACTTTCGTATCTATATAAAAAGATTACATCGTTATCCTCTTCATAGCCCAGAAATTTGTCCGGCCATTTGATCCTTTTATTGCCCCGAGGAGGGATCTTAAGAAGCTTGTGCAATGAAACCGTTTTCTGCAACAACCATATGCAAACACCTTGACAATTGACCTTCCTCTGCCAAATTTGAAGGTTATGACAGGACAACATGGCAAGACCAACGGCGCCATCCTCTGCCTGGATGATCTGAAAGTTGCCAGTATCATTCATACCAGGAGGCCCCTTGATCATGGTAAGGTTCTGGCTGTCCAAATCAAACTCAAGTATTGTACCTCTCCCATTCATAACTGGCCAGTAAAGGACATTGCCAACAAGGGTGCTACGACAACCATGAAAATAAGTATTATCTGGAGCCTCAACTGATATGAGATTGCCCCATGTGTCGGTCATCGAGGAGTAAACGTAGGCGAGGAGTTGATTATCCACGCCATCCCAGGACACCAATACCACCTTGAAGGGGCTGGAGGGCCCCTTGTAGCCGGCTGTGCAGAGCACCGCTCCGACAAAGCTCCACTTGAACTTGCATGGAAGAGCCACGCGACACTTCTCACTTGTGATGGGGTCGCACACAATGAGGTATTTCTGCTCTAGATCTTCGATAAGTACGCGACCGTGGCGGCAGTCGAGCACATAGGTAAGTCGGGGGCGTCCAAGGGAGAAGCGCTCCGGAGGGATGTAGTCGGCAACTAGAGCCGGAATGGGGGTGAACACCATACCTTCCTTGCTGCAGTTCTCGAAGATGCCGAGGAGGGGCGGCTTGCAGTGGTGTGTGTAGAACTGGCAGAGGAACTTGGGGTCGATGAGGAGGCCTCGCCAACGCTTGCAGATGGCAGACGCTCGGGGGAATGAGTACAGGTCCGAGGGGAGGCGGAGAAAGATCTCCCTGAGTATATCGTCGTTGTCCGGCAGGGAGGAGGGTGCCTCCGACGAGGTGCCGCGGTGGCGTTGACGTCTGCGACGAGTTGTTCCAATATCCTCCTCACCAGCCTGGATCTGGGGACGGACGCACATGCCACATGGGTGGGCAAGTTCGTCACACTCCTCGATGGTGTGGATCTGGGAAAGGAGGAGTGCACTGCGGCGGTGGCTGGGCATTCCAGCAACCTCCTCACTTGGGTGGATCTGAGGATGGAGGGGCGTGCCGCGTGGGTGGGCCAATCCGTTGCCCTCCTCAATGGGGTGGATCTCAGAAAGGAGGTGTGTGCTGTAGCGGTGGCTGGCCATTCCGACGCCACCAACCTCCTCACCGGCCTGGATCTAGGGACGAACACACATGCCATGCGGGTGGGCAAGTCCGTCACCCTTCTCAACGGCATGGATCTGGGTAAGGAATTGCACCCTGCGGCGATGGCTGGCCATTCCAGCAACCGCCTCACTTGGGCGGATCTGGGGACGGAGGGGCGTGCCGCTTGGGTGGGCCAATACGTTGCCCTCTTCAATGGTAGAGAAAGGAGGAGCACATTGCAGCGGCGAGTGGCTATCCCGGCGGAGCACCAAGACCTAGATGAAGCAGGAAGGCATGGGGGAGAGAGGGGTGTGGTTTGTTTCGTGACACAATTCCTTATTTGACACAAGCAAAATATTTAATTCCTTATTTGACACTAAAAACTTTTTCTTCCTTATTCCACGGCCGATCTAAATCTCTACTCCTATAAAAATGACAGTTTATGATGATGGTGTGTCTGCCTCTATGCCATATTGACCGTCCAATCTGGAATGTAAGGCTGAAACTGAGGCGGGTAGTCCCCGAGCACATTTTGCAGAAACACCCCACGCATCGGACAAAATTTGGAGAAGACACCCAAAACACAAAGCCGATACTTTGGAAATTTCTGCTTCTCTCGCGAAACAAACGAGCCTTCAAGAACCACTCCCAAATTCCTCGTCGTCGGCCCTTCCCATCTCATCCACGGCGACTGCCGGAGTTGAGTTGCGAGAGGGATCCTCCTCTTCTATACGTAGTTGTAGTTAGGGTCTCAGTAAATTGGATTTTGGCTTCAAGCTTTCCCCCGTATCTCTGCTTCTAGATCTCACCGCGCAGGCCGCCGGACATGGAGCCATGGCGGTGGTTGCTTGCTGCCACATCCAAGTGTCCCTCTGCTCTCCCGTCCTGCCACCCCTCCTTGTATGGATTTCCTTTTGGAAACACTACAGCCCAGAAAAGGGGACGAGCCCAACTCCTGGCACAATCGACGCACGCGCACGATTGAGCGCAACCGTTTCACCATTAGGCCTTCGCTGCAGGTGCCGGTCACCCGGCAGGAGGTCCAGGCCGCCGTTGCCAAGGAAGTCGGGCTGCGGGCGCTCCATGGCGCTGTCCGCTGGTGTGGCGTGCTGAATGCTGTTGGTGCCAGCGTGTACGCCAACAGGAGCCCGGCCAACATCAGCCTCGTGCCAGCTGCGTCGTTCGCGTGCTCACGGACAGCGGCATCGTCCAATGCAGACTAGGAGTATCCAATGTTATTCAGACGAGTAGTGCAAGCTCTCAGGTTCCAGGGATATGCACAATCACATCGGCACAACGTCTTTCCGTGAAGCCGAGTATCAGTGCTGCTTCCTTGGTGACGATTGACACGCAGCTGCTGCCGCGCTCTGCCTCCACGCTTCATTGTGGCGATTCTTGCCGGGAGGTATGCACATATATATTTCATCCCCAAGATTGCATATGTAATTTGCTTATTTGATCAACTTCGGTCTGCAGTAGTTTAAGCACCTCTTTTTAGAGATAGATAGGCCAATCAATAGCTTTATAATTGTATAATCAGTAAGAACGGTTACTTGAAAAGGCTTAGGCAGTCTGCTCTAACAAGGAAATGCAAAACTGATTACGCGAAAGAAGTAGAGGTGATGGCCAGGCTCTGGCATGCCAACCTTGTTCACCTTCTTTCTTATTGCAATGAAGTCGACAAGCGGAAACTCATCTACGGTTACATGTTGGACATCGGCATGGAATCTCTACATTGTATAATTTGTCTTGCCTATGATCAGAATTGGGATCACAATAGATCATTAAGTTCTCTTCTGCAACTATTGGTTATCGTTGTTCTGTGCTCCAGTAGAGAAGTACAGCTCATTGCTACATGGGCTAGAGTCAGGGAAACACAATAAGTTGCATGTAGATAGAGTTCTGAATATAGAACTGCAAATTTGGACAATACGTTCAGAGGAAGCTTGTATGCTTGACATGGTGAGCTCCAAACTTTTGTGAAGTAGCGTTTCCAATAGTTTAGAGCTGCTACTTTACTGCCAGTATTTGGGTGGTCTGTGTTCAAATTTCTAACACAAGTAATGCACTTCGGGAAGTTCTATCTATCGTGTGTCCATGCTGCCAATATCTGATATAATTTTATTGCAAGCACCCAAGAACTGCAGCTCTATCGCCATTCATGATTGTTGACCTATGGCCTACGGCCTATGGCCTACAGAGAGAGTAATTAGTGTTTACCTCATGCATTATGTGCCATAATGCAGTTGTGCCGTATGCCTCTTGTATTATTTTCGCCGACGACATATATAGGTAGCAGATTAGTATTGCAAGATGTTGTGGCTAAAGTGTTGTCTGGTTAATACTGCATTCCTCCATTACTGATAAAGTGTTACTTCTATGTCAGTTATATATTACTCCCTCTGTTCCTAAATATTTGTCTTTCTAGGGATTTCAACAAGTGACTACATACGAAGCAAAATGAGTGAATCTACACTCTAAAATATGTCTACATACATCCGTATGTTGTATTCCATTTGAAATGTCTAGAAAGACAAATATTTAGGAACGGAGGGAGTATGTTGCTCTATGTTCATTGCTTTTGTTGACATCAGATTGTGCATATATGCAATCTGCAGATGCATGTCTGACTGCCCTCAGGTTCAGACCCATATTATCATGCAATGCCCGATAGTTGAACTCTCTGCACGCCAGAATTTTGTCTGCAGTCTGATCATCTTGCGGTGTAGCAGTTTCATAGGGATAGAGAATCGCAGATGCAGCACTCCAGTATCTTCACTTCTTGATTATATTAAGAAAACTTAAACTAAGTATCTCTTATCTAGGCAGTCAAAGGTATGTTATTAGCTTGAAAAGATACAGAGCTCTAGCTTCCTTTATTTAGAGAAAGATTGGGCATCTTGTACTGGCTCACTCTATGATGTGATATGTTCTCAACATGCTCTTCGTGACCTATGCAATGATTTTGTACTTCTCTTACTGATCATTAGATCTTTATATGTTTGCTTGAATGTCTTAACGTCACTGCTATGCCAGTTAACCTCTTGTGATGATACATTTTAGAAAATTTTAATTTAAACAGAGGATAAATAAGTGATTGCTAATTTTGGTGTATGAACTTGAGGCTCGGGTCATAATCCACTTGCTTGTGTAAACCAAGGTAATGTTCCTGCATAAAACACGCTAAGGTAATGCCCTCCTGTTTCTACTAGAAAGAAATTGACCATCAAATTATCATTTTCTGTTTCGAAGGTTAATCAGTTTGTCCAAGAGGCCAAGACCACTACAGAGCCAACCACATGTTTTGAACTGCAAAAGGGAAGGGGGGAGTCCTGTTGCCTATCCATATACTGACAAAACATGATATGTGTTGCAAGAACTACAAACTGTGTTGGCAATTGGAATATTGGTAGACTAATGAATATAAAAAAGATGTCGTTCCTTGTATCAGTTGTTAGATTTTCCTTATTTCTTGTGATTCTTGGCACTAGGATATTATCAGTTGTTATCCTATTTGATAGAAACTACTCCCTCCGTCAAGTCTCTAAAACGTCTTATATTTGTTTACAGATGCAGTAGCTATCAGAAATAGGATGTTTTGAATGTGATGAAAAACTGTCTGCTATGGCGGAGAGAAGTGAAGTGGAGCAAAGTTGGGTGATGGGCCGAGATGATGAGGTAGGAAGAAAGAATAACACGTGCGGCGACTTAGCATGTTCGGCGGGAAATAACACGACACAATTTAAATCAGCGTGTGTGTGCACTTTGAAACCAAACATAGTTTGAGTGCACTTAATATGGGACGAAAGGAGTATAATTTATTTCCGTAGCAACGCACGGGCAGCTACTAGTTTCATTACAAATCTAACACTTCCATCAAAAAATTCCGCATAACAGTGTTAAATGACATGTGAAAGGACTTTGACGTGTGAGACCCACTGGTCAACCTTTTGCCCCCAAAACATCTAGCCTGTCATCCTCTTTCTTTGTTTCTCTCACATACATGTGAGACCCACTAGTCATGTCTTTCTTCGATTGCGTGAACAACCCAACCCGTAATGAACCTCCTCCTCCCTTCACCGTGGACGAGGCTTCTCTGCAATATTGCTTCCCTGACGTGGGTGGCTGACATGTGGGCCCATAGGTAATCTGGCACATAGGTTAGTGATCCCACGCCAAACAATAGCAAGTCAGTGGACTTCACTGCCGGCGGCCGCACTCACCACCCAAACCTTTATAAGCGCACTCACCCTCCAAGCGGCCACACCACATCCCTCTTAAGCCTCCCGGTTGCCGATGGCAGCCGTGCTCGCCCTCACAGCAGCCCCTACCTTCTTGCCACCTCCTCTACCTTTTCCACACCGACTCACTCAGCCACAAGTCGTCGGAGTCGAGGATGAAGAACTCTGACCGCCTCATCTCTCCTCCGTGAGCTCTGAATCAGAAGCCCAGCATGAGAAACTGCGAGCACCATCTCTCGATTTAGATGCCCGACACAAGAAACTGTAAGCATTATTGCTCAATTCACTACCCCGTCAGCATCGAGGAGTCCATGGCTTCCCTCCTTGTCACCGGCGAGCAGTCCCGTGGTTGTCCTCCCCTCCCCACGCTCTCCTCCACCATGCTAGATCCTCCTCGCAGAGGTCAGCAGTAGCAGAGCCAGGAATGAAGCCAATTTTTTTCCGACAACATAGAAAAACTTTGGACCTTATAACAACCCCAAAAATACCTCGTAAAATTTCTAAAAAATACCTCATATGAAAACATATAACATAAATTGCAATTGCTCAACAAAATTATAACTAAATTCAATGCACAATGATCCAACAAAATCTGTAAAACATGACAGAAGTACAAATAATAATAACGGGATACAAAAATACCAAATCAATTGATTACTTCATTCATCGGTGCCTCCCATAACTTGATCAACGGTAGATGAACCAACACCTTCAATGCATTATAAAAGTATAATTTCATAAGAAAAGGCATAAACATC